AACTCAAAAAAAAAAAAAAAGAAAAAGAAAAAGAAAAACAACCAATAAGCTTGCTCCAAGTGCTGGCCAATTCGCTCACCGTTAGGCCCCTACCTCCTGCCGATTGGTCCTTAATACTGACCAATCAGAGCAGCTACAGCTCACAGCTAGCGCTAGCCAATCAGCTTGAACTTAGGGCTATATAAGCACCAGGTTTTCGGCCCCAGATGGGCAACCCCTTTGGGTCCTCTCCCACGGTGGGGGCTTTTCTGTCCTCTCAATAAATCCTGCTTTCTCAACTTTCTGGCTGACTATGTCCCTCATTCCTCCTCATTCCTCCTGGGCACGAGACAGGAACCCTGACCTAAAGAGCTGCAGAAGATCATCGGAGCTGGAGAGCCATGCACCCCAGCTGATGGAGCCGGCTGAAACAGGAGAGCTGCCGGAAGCAGGCGAGCCTTTGAAGCTGAGATACTTCTGGAGGCTGCAATACTCTCAGAGCTTGGATTGCCGGCCATTAGAGCCAACACTTCTGGTGCTAGGCTTGCCAGTCCATTGAGCTGATCCTCTTTGGGGCTTGGCTGGCTGACCCATCAAGCTGACACTCTCGAAGCCCAGGCTGACCTGAAAAATCTATATCAACATCACACCTCACTGGCCACACCTCAGGATCATGCTTCACGGATCACACCTCATGGGTCACACCTCACAGTTCACAGCTCTGGGTCTACATCTCACAGCCACACCTCCTAGTCACAGTGCACCTCATGGTCACACCTCAGGGTCATCCTTCACAGATCACACCTCTTGGTCCACACTTCACAGTCACACCTCATGGATCATACCTCATGGATCACACCTCCTGGTTCACACTTTCTAGTCACACGCACCTCATGGTCACACCTCATAGTCACATCACACCTCACGGTCACACCTCATAATCATACCTCACTGGCCACACCTCAGAGATCACACCTCTCGGTCCACACTTCACAATCAAACCTCATGGATCACACCTCTTGGTCCACACTCCACAGTCACACCTCCTAGTCACGTCATACCTCACAGTCACACATCATGGTCACATCAGGGTCACAGATCATACTTCTTGGTCCACACTTCACAGTCACACCTCTTGGTACATACCTCACAGTCACACCTCCTAGTCATATCGCACCTCACGGTCACACCTAACAGCCACACCTCAGGGCCACACCTCACAGAACACCTCTTGGTCATACCTCACAGATCATACCTCTTGGTCCACACTTCACAGTTACACCTTACAGTCACACCTCATAATCACACCTCACTGACCATACCTCAGAGTTACACCTCATAGATCACACCTCTTTGTTCACACTTCACAGTCACACCTCATGGATCACACCTTTTGGACCATACCTCATAGTCACATCCCCTAGTCACATCGTACCTCACAGTCACACCTCATAGTCACACCTCAATGGCCACACCTCAGGGTTGTACCTCACAGATCACACCTCTTGGTCCTCACTTCAAAGTCACACCTCATGGTTCACACCTCTTGGTACATACCTCACAGTCATACCACTTAGTCACAACATACCTCACGGTCACACCTCATAGTCACATCACACCTCACTGGCCACACCTCAGTGTCATACCTCACAGATCACACCTCAGGGTCATACCTCATGGGTCACATCTCTAGGTCCATAACTCATGGGTCACACCTCACAGTTCACATGCCATAGTCCTCACGGTCCACAGCTGACAGACACCACCTCTCAAGTCCACTCCTCATAATCCACACCTCTCAGTCCGTAACTCATGGTTCGTATCTCACAGTCCACGTGTTACAGACATACCTCGCAGATAACACCTCACAGATCACACCTTGCAGAATGCTGCAGCAGCAGGAAAGGGCTCTTTTCACAGAGAGGAGAGTCCAGGGAAGCCTCCAGTCAACCTGGGTCTGGATGCCACCCGCCAAGACTCACTGTCAGCTGCTCCTCCAGACCCTCCTAGTGTGACCCAGGTCAGCCCCCCGCCTCGGTCTCCTCACTGCACTCCGCTGGGCCCGTGGCAGTACCTGTGGCTCTCCTGCAGCATCTGGGTGAGCTCCTGGATCCGGTCATAGTGCTCCAGATGCTGCTTCAATTCCACAATCTCGCCAGAGAGCCTCTTCACACTTGTCTGAAGTTCTGAAAGACAACGGCACATGGCACTATCTGGCAAACACCCGCACATCCCCAAAATGACAGTGAGTCTGGATCCACACGGGGCCCGTTACCACAAGAACCTCACTGGAAAAGACAGGCTTTACGAGACTAAAGACAGGGAGAACATGAAGGCCAAGGCCCCGCTCTGCACACCCAGTGGTTTTCAGCCCAGAGCCCCTCCATGGGCCTGAGGCTATGGGAGTCAGCCCTCCAGAGGGCCCTGAAGAGTCAAAACCCCGGGTGGAGGGCACAGGGTGGTGACTGGGGTGGGCCTGGCCCTGGCAGGAGACGCTGCACGGATCTGTCTGTTGCCTGAGCTTCTCTTCCACCAGGAAGCAAACTCTGCTCTGAAGGCAGGGCCTGCGGCCTTGGGGAGAAGCGCCCAGAAGCCCATGGTGAATGGCCTCCCACATGCCTCCCACAGAACAGAGAGAACCTCTGCTGTTCTGCCTCCGTCAGTGATGGAGCATGTGGCCGGACCCCCCGCCACGACTCCTGCCTCCTTATGGCTTCAACTCAAGGGGAGAAGAGACTGGCCTCCCAGATGCAAACCAGGAAACCGACCACTGCTGCCCAGATACACATCAGAGGTGGTGAGGAAGCCAGAGCGGGGTGGTGATGGGCAAAGGGACGACAGTGACACTTATGGCAGAGGCTTCTTGCCCACAAGTCCACCCGCATGCAGAGGCTTCCATGTCGAGACAGCACCCCTGAGGATCCGTGCCGGCATCAGGGCAGAAGTGAAGGGAGTCCGGGGCACCACAGTTTCAGCATCTTCCAGAAGCCCCCATTAGTCAAACCAAGTTAAACACACATCACACATCCTGGTGACAAGGATGCCTCGAGATCCCAAGCACAGGAGGCTGGGACAAGCGCCGACAGTCACAGGCCACGCAGGGTGCCCATATCTGTGAGGGGAAGCCCAGTCAGCAGTGGGCAGCTACAGATCCAAGAACGGGAGAGCCCCACGTATCCCCTGCTTCCCTGGGAAGCCCTAGTGGGCCCGCTAGGGACCACAGCCCCAATTCCCTCTCGTGAGGGTGAGACCAGGGTGTCCCATACAGCCTGAAGAGGCCAGAGCACCCTGTGAGTCCCGTCCCTTAAGAACAGGGCCCGCAGCACAGAGAAACAGCTGGTATAGGGTCGAGGTCGAGTAGGACAAGGCCATCAGAGAAGGGTGGGGGCAAGAACAGGACCTGGAAGGCTCCAAAAGGAGGTTGGCATGTGTCTTATCCAGGAGGTCTAAGAAGCTGTCCTGACCCTGCCTCCTTCTAGACGTTCAGGAGAAGAAATTTAACATAAACTGAACAGGAACGCACTGAGGTCAAATCCCACACAGTCCTGTGAGACAAAGACCAGAGCACAGCCAGGTCCCATGACAGCAAAGGCCACCGCCACGACTTCAAGACAAGTCGAAGATGGGGAAGGGACTCCAGAAACAGAGGGGCTACACTCCAGTCAGAAGTCAGCATAAAAGAGGTGACACTTCTGGAAAGAGCCAGCAACGAGAGGAAGGGCCCTCCTAGGAACGGAGGCTGAGTGGAGGGCCCGGGCCCCACTTCACACTGACAGGCCTGGAGGCTGCGACCGCAGGTAAGATAACGTCAGCCAAGCCGCAGCACCACAGGTCGGTTCACATACACAACAGCTCCGTTCCCCGAACTTCCAGATGAAGCCCCAGCACCTGCAGTGCTAGACACTGATATCAACGTGAGCGCTGCGCACGCTGAAGGCAGAGGGCAAGGGCAAGGACAAGAAGCACGATCCGATGGCCTCCTCAAGTCCAGCTCAGCGCGCAGATGGCCGCAGCCTGTTGCGGCAGCTCAGGGCCCAGGTGGAGCCACTCTGGCCAGGATGCTGTCCCACCGCAGGGCACCACCCACATCCCTCAGCCTGGGCCACAGGACACACCCATTCGCCTGGAGCCATGGGAGGAAGCCTGTGCAGATCCACCTAGATGGTGGCTCTGCTGGGTACTGACTTTTTCTCTTCCATGTCAGAAGAAAACAACGTTATTGGAGGACCAGCTATACATATAACAGTGTCTTAAAGAAACAGAAGATGGGTCGGGCATGGTGACAAAAGTCTGTAATCCCAGCACTTTGGGAGGCTGAGGCGAGAGGATTGCCTGAACCTGCAGGTTTGAGACCAGCCTGGGCAACATGGCAAGACCTCGTCTCTACAATAAATAAAAAATGAGCTAGGCATGGTAGCACGCGCCTGTAGTTCCAGCTCCTTGAAAGGCTGAGGCAGAAGGATCGCTGGAGTCCAGCTGGTCGAGGCTGCGGTGGCTGGGAGCATACCACTGTCCTCCAGTCTGGGCGACAGAGTGAGACTCTGACTCAAAAAGAAAAAAAGAAACAGAAGATAGAAAATCTTTTAAATAAAAAGAGAAGACTCTAAAGAACTCTTATCACTCAATGAAAACGAGTGGGCAGAAGCGCCAAGGAGACAGCTCACTAGTCGGGTCCTGGGTCTCATCTGTGGTTGTTTTTGTGCTACCAGGGCCACAGTTGGTGGGACAGATGCTGTAAGGCCCATGGTGCTCAAATATTTACCACGTGGCCCTTTAAGAAACAATCTCTGGGCCCCTGAGCGCTAAGAGTGGAGAGAGACACTCCCCTTGCCCTGTCCTCAGGGAAAAGCACTGGAGACTCTAGGAGACCCACCCTGCCCAGGGAAGGCTGCCATGGAAACAGACTCCTCCAACACTTCCTCACGGAGACTCAGGTGGCTGAACAAAAAATACCAAGTATGCTTTTGTAAAACGCAGTAAAACAACCAAAGAAAGTGGGCCATGAAGAAACCCTGGGCCTGGAAGGGTCAGCGACCAGAGAGTAGCCCAGAAAGCTCCCTCGGGACATAGGCTTGGCCAAGACCGCCCCGTATGACAGGCAGGCACGCAGGCTGGGGTCCATATCTTGACCCTGTGGCCCTGGGAAGATGCCGGGGAGTTGGACGTGCTTGAGAAAGTCAAAGACAGCGTGCGCAGAGACCCCGTGGTGACTCCGGCCCGTGGACAGAGGTTGCCTCTCCCTCCTAGCCCAGCGCTCCTTCCACACACACCTGGGTGGTTGGCGGCAGACACACGTGTACTCCACAGCCATGACCGAGGCAGCCTGCGTGACCACTGCAGTTGGGCTCAGAGACCAGCAGAAGCTGTACGTGCTGTTTCTGACCTCTGTGGGCAAGCAGTTTAAGCAGGAATCTACGTAGGCCCATTTGAGCAGTTGCTCAGAGTCAAGGTGCCAAGCACACCTACCAGTGATCTGCAGAGTCAGTGTCGCTGAAGCATCTGCACTTCTTATTTCTTTTCTCATGCTGAACAAGAGAGATTTCAGGCTACTGTTCTCCTCCAGAGCCTCGTCTAGCCGTTGTCTCACGTCATCCTAAGGACACAGAAATCACGCTTCAGGCCCTCAAGTCAAGCTCAGCCCAGTGTGCGCAGAATATCATGTGAAGCCTCTCGATGACGGCACAGGCTCGTCTCTTGACATATTCTAATCTGGAATCCCAGCGGGAAGACGCCCTCCTGCTTCACGGCCTGGTTCCAGCCACCTGGCCGACCCTGCCTGCACTAGCAATGTCCTTCAGGGAGGGGTGGAAGCCCAGGAGGGAGATGGAAATGGGTGTCCCAGCCCGAGACGCCCCATTCTCGAGTCCCCCTCTGAGGCACGTGCACCAGTGGGAGCCACAGGCCTGATGCTGGGAGGGGCAGCCGGTCGGGGCAGGTCAAGCTCTGCCTCCTCCAGGGAGTCCTCAGGGTCACTGTGGGTCCCAGACCTTCGTGCCACCCTGAGGCGCGGGCAGCTGCCCTGCAGGAGGCCCCTCCGTTCTGGCTCCTCAGCCGCTCCCTCACAGGCAGGAGTTGGGGCTGGGGTCCTTCCGCACTCCCGAGGTGTGAAGAATCCACAGTGTGCACAGCAAGATGTCAGAGAGGAGGCCAGGGCCCTGTCCGGCAGCACGTGGCACCCTCTGCCCAAGGCGTACCAAGCCCCTCCTATAAGCCTCTCCTGCGAGCCACCCAAGTCGCCTGCAGCCACAGACGGCATCCTTGCTAGCTGCAGGCTCACCCGCCGGCTCACCCGCCAACCACAGTCTCTAGGGCCAGCAAGCATGCCCAGGCCGAACTCCGGCCACCACCACCAGGGGCAAGCTCCAAGTCTGTGGGACACAGCCCTGCTTTTCGGGAAACCTTCACTTTGCTCTTTCTCCAGCCGGCAAGCACCCACCTGCCTGCGGATCCCTCAGCGGCACATGCCCACCAGGCCGTGTGGACCCGAGACTACTCCTCTCAGACGTGCCTTTTCAAGTTCTCCATTTCCCTCCTGGCAGCACCTGGGGCCGAGCACAGGCCCCCGTTGGCTGGGGTGGCCGACGGTCTTGCCTCCCAGAGAGGAGGCGAGCTCCCAGCTCCCAGCTGAAGCCTAGGGTGTGGTAGGTGCAGGCAGCAGCAGACCAACCAGGGCCAGACGGGGTGCAGCACATCTACCCCGGAGCGTGGCAGATGTGGTCAGGAGCAAGGCCTCCAGCCAACCTCAGGAAACAGGACCACAGCTTCCCAAGAAGCACAGCTAGGTTTACACTGTTGTGAAACGGATGTCTTCACTCCATGGAATAAACTCAGGCCCAGTGACGGATACTTCCACAAGGACAAGGGCCTCCATGGAAAGCAGCCCCCACCGACCCTATAGGGCCGTTTGTGCGCAAGCTCTGGCCCCACTCACTGACCATTCCTTCCTGGGATTGGGTCATCCAGTGGGGCTGAAGAGACCCCAGCAGGGCTTGGGCTGCCGGACTGTTCCTGATCACTTGCCTACACAGGGCACCCTGGGCTGCTCCTGGCCTGTGGTCTGAGGCTGCCCTCCAGACAGAGCTGGACGGACAGTCCCAGAGGTGAGGAGCTGGTGGCCTTGGTGGCCACTCTGTGCATGGGCCAGCAGGCAGCATGGCCCTACTTTGGGATTCCAGGGGTCTGACTGACTGGGTTTCAAGGCGTCCCCTACTCTGTACCAAACCCCAGCAGGTCGCTCTCGGTTTCCTCACTTGCAGGCCATGCCACAACTCGTGGTCAATGTCGTCTCACAGAGAAGACCTCTGCATGGTGACACAGCCCGGCTCACTCTCCTACGGAGGAGCCGTGGGTACATGGGGCTCACAGCTATGTCCCGCACTGGGCTTTCTGCACCACTCCACCATCTGTCCTTTTTACCCACACGTGAAACGGGGCGTAGGACCTCTCACAGCATAGAGACACAAGTGCAGGTCAGGCGTTCTCAGGTCCCCCCACCTTGCGTGGGGTCTGACGCACACAGTGCTCACACGCAGTGCTGCGATGGCCCACCCTCCCTCAGGTGCCTGCCTCACATGGCCTCCCCTGCGGGAGGGGCTGGGCAGCATGTGCATGTGAGGCCTCGGAGTCGGCAGCATCCCTCTGGGCACACCCTGGCTCTCTGAGCACAGCCCTTGTCCCAGGGGACGCTGGCCCTTTGGGAAGCCCACGTGGCATGGAGCCGAGGCCTGCCGCAAGGGCGCATAGGTGGATCTCGCCACAGCAGGTCTTTGGGTGAGATGGCAGCCACCTGAGAAGCACCAGGTAACCGGCGCTCGGGGCCAGCCTGCGGAATCCTCAGACCATAAATATGTGTGTTCTAAGTTGCTTGTTTTAGAGCAATAGGTCACCAGCACAGAGGGGCCACGTCGCCTGCCCACAGCCACTCACAGGTCGCAGTGGTTTAAGCACTGACCATCTAAAAGGAAGACAGGCTCCGTGGCTCCAAATTCAACAAGATCTGCCGCAGTAGGTTAGCCAGGCGGAAACTGGCCCAGGCCCTGCACCAGCCGCTCTTAAGCGCCACCTGGTGGCAGAGGCTCCCCCAGGCTCCGAAGGACGGTCTCCCACTTGACTGGGGCAGGCAGGACTCGGCAGGGACCCTGGATCAGCAAGCTAAGGGGACCCTGAGCCAGAGGCCGGGGGAAACCAAAGCCTCTGCCTCGGGCCTACCTCCCCACCTAGGGCCCTCAAGAAGAGGAGGCAGCTGCCTGGGGCGTCGACCTCTAGACTTGCCTTCCAGGGGGCTGGGAGTAGGACAGAGGCAGGCTGGCTCCAGCGTGGCAGAGGCCCAGGCAGGAAGGGCAGGCCGGGTGCTGGGACGACAGGGCCCCGGGGGAAGGTGGAGGCGAGGCACTGCTGCATTCCCCCAAGTCAAAACCACACTTCCACCTAGTCCTTGCAACCCTGGTACCAGGATGCACTCACCAGCTCCCTCTGCGTGTTGTCCAGCTCTGAGGCCACCACGTCCTCTCTTGGGGCAGGCTGCTGCTCCAGGAGGCGACGCTGCAGAACCTGGTTTTCCAGGGCCAGACGGCGCATCTCGTCACTCACAGCCGTGGACATGTCCTGCGCGGCCACACGTTCTTGAACAGATGAAAAAACATGTCTTGCCTGAGCTGGGTGGAGAGATCAGAGATTCTCACCACACTTACCCTTAAGGGATGACACAGGAAGAGAAGAGGGCCAGCACCCCTGAATCATCCAGACCGTGTGCCTCCAAAGTGCCAACAGCATGGAGGGGCAGGGGGTACCACCACACCGCACCGGGTTCCCGACGTTTGGTCACGGCGGGAGGAGAAGAGAAGAATGCTTTTCATCCTAGAGTGGTGGCCCTCAAGCGAGGCTGCAAACTGCACAGCGTCTGGAAGGTGTGGCTGGCGCTAGCAGCTCACATCACCTCCAGCAAGCACTGACCGCTGGGCCCAGGGCCCACCAAGCACACAGAGGAGGGGAATCTCCACACGGGGACAGCGGTGGGCTGCCTCCACACCGAGAGCGGGTCCAGAGGTCCCTTCATGACATGCACCCATGAGAGGCTGAAACTCATGGGGTCGGAACCTGGGGGGAGCAGGGCTAGCTGAGAGCTGAGGGGCCGGAGCACTGAGTGGCAGGAGACCCAGGGCTAGGACCATGTGCGTGACACAGTGCCCGGGTCATTCCTGGAGAAGCGAGTCCAAAAAGTCCAGCTCCCACAGGACCCTCAGCCCTGCCCCAGCTGCAGGACGAGAGGGCGGCCACCTGGGATGCAGTCACCTGGCCAGTGCCCTCTGGGCAGTGACCACTCTCCGGGATCCGGGTCACTCCCACCCACAGCTCAGCAGTGTAGGCCCTGCTCACGGCCAGTGTTCCCAGGGGACAGGGAGAAGGCAGCTTTCTGAGTCTCCAAACCCCATGAAAAAGAGCCATCAGACATCAGAACCAAACGCCTGTGCACAGCGTCCTCAGCAGAACCTGTGGCAGGTCCCTCCCTTTCCCCAGAGCACAGTGGTGGGCCCACTGCCCCGGCCTGCATGGTACTCCCAAGGGCTCCAGCCACGTGAGGAGACAGACTGCAGCAAGGTGCAGGGGTGAGACCGCATGCTTGTGAGAAGAATGTGGAACACCTGGTGCTAGGACAGCCTGCGGGTGGCACGTTCGGAGGACTCCAGCCCTACTGACAGATGCTGCCTAGAGGCCAAGGGCCAGTTTGCTCCGACTCACCTGGGAACACCTTGCTGCTGTGCAGGGACTGGCAGCTGGCCCGGTTCGTGTCCACCAGGTCCAGCAGGGCCTCCAGGAGCACTGCCTCCCGGGCTGCCTTCTTCCCAGGCGGAGCTGCCGGCAGCTGGGAGGGAAGCAAATCATGACAGCAGTGCGTCACAAACGACATGGTCTCCACCACTCGCACGGGCCCTGATCGCAGCCTGAGATGCCCTCACGCCACGGATAGGTGGCAGGCACCGTGAGACCACAGCCCCGACCTAGGCATCTTGGCAGCCTGTTCTGCAAAGCCCGGCCTGGTGCGCCCAGTACAGCTCTGGCTCCGGCCACGCTGGTGGGGGAGGCGGAGGCCATGTGACAGAAGCGCCATGTCTGCACACTCCCAGCTCTAGCAGGCTCTGGGTTTCTTCCCTCAAACCAGATGTGACGGAGGAAAGATACACACGGTCATGGACAGACCACATGAGGAAATGGACTCTGCCCCAACACCAGCCCGCCTGCCCGTCTCAGACCGTCTTCCCCAGCAATGGTCTGGGAGTCAAGCAGCAACCCCTGCATGTGGGCCCCAAGCACTGGGTCGGTGACTGCTGCCTCCTCCTCCTGGCGTCCTCTGGGCTCAGGACCGTCCAGAACATCATGCTCTCCCACAGCTCCCTCAGGCTGACCTGGGCCCCCCTCCTTCCCCCCCTGCTCCTCGCTCTCGGATGCTTGAGTGACCAGTCCCACCTGCCCTCCTCCCGCGGCTCCCACCGACGTCCACAGCAGGCATGCCTCGACCCTGCCACAGATTAAAAACAGTCTAGGTGAAAAGGACGTGTTCACCATGACATCAGCACAGACAGGACAGTCCTGGGTGGTAAGGACATGTCCGCCATGGCACTGTCCCAGACGGACACGTCCACTGCAGCAGCACCACAGACGAGGCAGTTCCAGTGATAGGAAGGATGTGTGCATCATGACACCACCACACATGAACAGTCCCAGATGCTAAGGATGTGTCTGCCACGCCACCACCACAGATGGGACCGTCCTGGCCTATAAGAAGAGTGTGTCCACCACAGCACTGCCACAGATGAGACAGTCCTGGGTGATAAGGACATGTCCACCATGGCATCGCCGCAGACGGGAGCGCCCCAGGTGAATAAGAAGTGCATGGGCCTGATGCCTGCCCCGGGTCCCCCCTCACCTCTTGGGCATCTGTTGGGCCCTGCAGCCTCTGCTCCTCCATCTCTGATGCCCCGGACCGAGAAAAGGTCCTCTCGCTCCTGCCTCCTGAGCTGTCCCATCTGCTTGGACTCTCCTCAGGGCTGGGGGGCCTGTGAGTCCCCTCCAGGCAGCTCAGACACCCGTGGTCTGAGGGCACCTGGAATCTTCTGCCAGGCATCCTTTGCTTCCCATGCTTTTCAGAAACAGGCAGTGGCTCGAACGCCTTCTGTGTCAACAAACTTGACTTCTGAGAAGATGCTGAGTCCTCAGCATCCGTGGAGTCTGCAGTGCAGAGATAGAGCCCTCATCTGACCACATTCTCTGTGCTCAGTGGCCAGCACTGTGACCAGGGGCGTGTGTACACACATGTGTGCAATATGCACATGGACACACACATACACACTAACAAACACACGTGTACATGCACACACACATCCACACACCTGCACAGAGACACAGACGTGCAGAGGAGGAGGGAGAGGGCAGGAAGGGCCCTGGAGCAAGCGCCCCATGTGAGCTGCGGGGAGTCTAGAGGGAGCAGACAGGGTTGTCACCGGGAAGCATGCTCACTCCACGCACACACAGTCACTAGAGCGCCACACAACACCCAGCACACACTCACTGCGGACAAGAGGCTAGACGAGGAACCGGTGGTCGTGGAAATGGCAGGCACTGCGCCCAGAGGTGTGGGATGTGGGGAAGAGCGGCAGCGCTGGGGAAGGCAGTGGCAGCAGGAGGCAGGAAACAGCCACGCCCACAACGCTCAAGACAACCACACCACGGCCCACAGCGGCTCCCAGCGACCTGGCCAGGCCAGCACTACTCGCCTGCCTCTGACCATAGGCCTGGACGAGCGTCCAGAGGCCCCAGGCTCTCTGGAGGGCGGGCAGGGTTCTTGCTGCTTGAGCCATGCAGACACACATGACACTCAGTTAACTCTACTTAATGTCCTCATCTGTGATGTTTACATGGAGCTACAGTCACCACCGGGGCCCACACATGTAGAAGAAAGTGTGTTGGTGAGAGAGAGTGCAGGGTGGGGTGAGGGAGAGTCACATGTGGCTAGTCAGCATGGGAGTGGGTTACTTACGGTGGGAGTGGGTTGGATATGGCAGAAGTAGGTTAGTTGTTGTGGGAGTGGGTCAGTTATGGCGGGAGTGAGCTTCTGATAAAAAGATGCAAGGCCCATTCCTCTGTCTCTCAAGTTTCCACCTGTGCCTCCCGACATGGGATGACCCTGCCTGACGCTGCGCCGTGCTCTTGGGCTTTCAGCCTCCAGAACCATGAGCCACCCAAACTGCGGTCCTTATAAATTACCCTGTCCAGAAGCAGAACGGACTGAGACACACGTGACTACCTGGGCGTAGGGCGGCGTGTGCATGAGGCCTGCAGGCATGGCAAGCCTTCTCCGCTCCGCGCCGCGGGGGGCCCTCTCCACAGCTCTGGTGCGTCCTCTCTGCACGGCAGCTCCGAGAGCTAATGGCCCTCTTGTCAGGGCCCTGCCTGGTAGAGTCCCCGTGCTGGTGCTGCACCGGCGGAGGGCTCAACAGCTGTCGGGATTCTATGTTGTTAAGAAACATTGGAGATGTTTTACTTCCCTGAAAACTGCATTCCGAGCTACTGATAGTGTGGGCCTCTGTTAAGAAAACATGGTGCATGGGTCGCCATGCACCAGCCGACACTCCGGGAGGCCCAGCCATGACTCTAAACTGCTCTCTAGATGGATGGCACGGGGCGGAGCTGATACTGCTCACCCAAAGGACAGCGGGTAAAGCTGTGGCAACATGACGATGAGAGGTCTATGAGTGGACACAGTGGCCACGAAGCGGGAGAGGCTCCAGAGAGACTCGGGCTGACCAGCTTTCCACCCCCATCCCCAGGCAATTAAGTGAGCAAGAACGTCTCCTCGACACTTGGAGCTGGTGGATGCACAGGCGTCCCGCAGTCCACAGGGGATGGTCCCAGGACCTCCGAGCCCCAGATCCAAGGACACCCAAGTCCCATCTAGAAAACGACGCTGTTTGCGTACAATGGACAGGCACCTCCCATGCACTCCATCGCACGTCGTAACACTGCATGGCCAGGTGTAGTGGCCGTGCCTGGACAACCAACCACTTGGGAGGCCAAGGCAGGAGGGTCCGAATTACTGGCAGCTGAAAGGACACAAAGATGTCACGAAGAGCTATCCTTACGGGAAAATCTTGTAAACAGTGCAACTGTGTGTGCTGAAGCCAGGAACAACCACCATTCCAGACCAGCTGGGCCGGCCAGCCTGCCTAGGGGTAAGCAGGACACCCTGGGAATTACAGAGGCCGGCATCCCTGAGAGGACACCTCAGGAACTGCAGAGGCCAGTCTCCCCAGATGAACAGTGCACTTGGGATACAACAGGCCGGCCTCCCCAGGGTGAACAGCGTACCTTGGGAACCAGAGAGGCCGGTCTCGTGCTCCTTCTGACTGGCGCTGGAGCTCCCGGGCGGATTGCTGAGGTCCCACTCGCACTCAGCAATGAGGTTCAGGACGGCCTCGTCGTCTGCATCCATGACCAGACACTTCCTGGCCGAGGCATCAGCACCCCTGGCTCTGGGGCGGCGTGGTCTGCAATGGAGCACAAACCCACCTGCGTCAGGAACCTGCCATGAGTCGCCATCTTCTCAGGTCTCGAGAATGCCCCCAAGGAGGAAGAGACTGGCACAGCTATGGCACAGCAGGGCCCTCGCCTGTCCGGGAGCGACACTAGGCAGGGCCCACAGGACAGCGGCCAGCAATGGCTTGGTCATGTGATGGCATCGCCCCTTCCCCCCCAGCCCTGGGCAGAGCCCCACGAGGATGGTCCAGAATAAAAGCTCTGGAAAGTGTGTCTGTTCTACTTTCTTCGAGTGGACTGGAATTCAACAAGCTCTTCTCCTGGTACCTCCCAAGGAGAGGTATGTGACTGAGAAAGTTCAGTGCTCCAAATGTCTACCTTTGCATCAAGGCACATATTTCCATGGCTGGCATGGGAGGTGTGCTCGAAAACAACACACCTTGCCATGATGATCCTTGCCCTACATGGAGGCAAACACACCCAAAGGGGACATTATTTCCAACAAAGGCAGTTGAGAAACCACTCTTCCCAATAAACTCTATGGCGTATACCTTGGGCACTACTTGGCAACACGATTGGCATGGGTGGCTTCTGGCCTACCTCAAGAGGCCAGTGCCCTGTGTCCACAGCTGGTGCACTCCAGAGCCCTGCACAGAAAAGTGACTTGAGCTCTGGGGCACACCAGAAGCCTAACGTCAAGTACCATTCAGCATGTCTGCTGTAGTGTCTGCTGTCGCCTCTGCATGTCAAGGAGATCGGCCCATGTCATCTGTTAGGACCTTGAACGCTAATCTCTGATCATTCAGTCTTCAGATGATCAAAGACAGGCGACTTTGACTATCTCAGTGCAAATACACATAAGTAAAGTTTTAGCAAGACTAAGTAACGATTCTAAGTGCTCAAAAGACAACCCTGTGGGTATCTTAATCTTTACAACTCAAGTGTGTATTATAATTTTGATATTAAGCATACACTATTCTAATTGTAAGGACATTAAAAATCATGTATGGTATAAAGAGAAATTTTACATAAAGTAGCACAGAGTGTCTGCATGGGCACCGAAGAAAGTGTGGAAAAATGCACATGCAAGTATCACTGTTGGTTATGGTTACATGGAGAGTGAACAGGGGGAGGGAAGACACTTTTACTCTTTCTTTTTATCAATTTCTATGATGCTTGCAACTTTTAAAACAATGAAGTATTATTGTAAAGTTTTAAAATAAGTGGACATAAAAAAATAGCATGTTACTAAGATGTCTGTTGTCTAGAAGACAGCAATCCCACCATGAAACATAAAAATTCTTACTTTATTTCCCATATGTTTTACAACAAAAGGGAAAAAACTTGAACATCATTATAAACCAGAATAAAAATTTATTCAGAGTGATGTCAGGAAAAATGGTGGAGAAAACAACTCCAAATTACAGCCTTTCATAAAAGCAACTAAACAACAGGACAAAGGGCCAGAATCAACTTTTTTGGCGCTCTGGGAATGAACCAGAGCAACCAAGGCAGTGGGTACCCAGAATAGCAGCTTTTCAGGAGGATGGAGACTCTGAGATGTCCTAACTTGCCTGGCCCCATTCCCCATTCCGCAGCTCAGCGGCAGTTGTAAAGTAACAGCCTGTATTCGAGGTCCAGGCTGAGTGGCCTTAATTCAAAAATCCTAAATCCCAAATGCTCCAAAACTCAAAACCTTCTGAGCACCAATAAGATGCTCAAGGGAAATGCTCATTGGAGCACTGTGGATATCAGATTTTTGGCTTAGGGAAGTATGATGCAAACATTCCAAAGTCCAAAAACCCTGGAATCTGAAACACCTCTGGTCAGGTAAGGGACACTCAGCCTGAGCTGTGTCTCCAGGAATTCAGGGAGCAGAGCGGGCCTCGTTCACAAAAACCGCTAATTAATTTCTTGGTCTGTCCCTAGAGGACCCACTCAAAGGCCTGGCCTGGAATCATTTCACCTAATCCACAACTGGCCCGGATCAGAGGCTCCTTGGGCATCTACAGGCGCTTGTCCTGGCTGTTGCCACCTGAAGCAATGGATGGCAGCTGAAGTGAACGGCAGCCCTAGGGCCTGGGAGGAAGGGTTCCGAGAGGCCCCTATGTCCCCAGGAGCCACGAAGGCTGTGCACACGACCAGGAAGGACCTGAAAAGGCCCTTCTCCTTCCTGCTCCTGCCGACTTGGGCTCTGGGCGGAGGAAGTGAGCTGCCCGGCTGAATGGTGGAAGCATGTCCCAACACACAGAGGCCCCAGCAGAGAGTAGCCGAGGGTTTTGTTCCACACATGTAAGGACATCTCTGTCCAGTCGCTAGCTGATCACTAAGCTAACAGAGATGTCAGGGGCCACACACAATGAAGAACGAACTTTACAGAACTGGTTCTGGAAAGTCACCCAACAAACAATGACGAAAACATAAGCAAGAATGTCAATCAACCCAGCGGAGCAGAATCTGGCCTTCAGAGTTGCCACCTTATGATATTTAAAATGTCCAGTTATCAACAAAAAATTAAGGAATGTAAAGAAGCAAGAAGGTGTGAGTCACATACAGAAAAAAGAATAAGTCAACAGAAACTGTGTCTCACCTGGGCAACTTGGCAAGACCTCATCTCTACAATTCAAAAATCAGCCGGGAGTGAAATGAAAAATTCACTAGAAAGGCTCAGTGAAACAGAGGTTGGTGAGAACACGGAAAAGGGGAACACTTACACATCACACTGTTGATGGGAATGGAAGTTAGTACCTCAATGGAAAACCTCTTTGGAGATTTCTCCAAGAATTTAAAATAGAACTACCATTCACTCCAGCAATCACACTACTGGGTAATATCTATCCAAAGGAGAACAAATCATACAAAAAAGACACCTGCACTCATATATTCATTGCAGCACATTCACAATAGTGAAGTCATGGAATCAATCTAAGTGTCCATCAATGGATGGTTGGATAAAGAAAAGATGGTATACATATAGAGTGGAATACTATTCAGCCATAAAGAATTGTGTCTCTGCAACCACATAGGTGGATCTTAAAGCCATTATCTTAAGTGAAATAACCCAGAAACAGGAAATAAAAAACTGCATGTTCTCCCTTATGAGTGGGAACTGAATAATGTGTACGGAGGGCCACAGAAAGCGGATTAATAGACACTAGAGACTCAGAAAGGTAAGAGGGTAAAAGGGGGCTGAGGGACAAGGAATTACCTACTGGATGCAATATATACTATTTAGGTGATAGTTACACTAAAAGCCCTGATTTTACCACTATACAATATATTCATGTACCAAAACTGCACTTGTAACCCCTAAATCTATTTTTAAAATTTTAAAAAATAGGAAATGCTCAATAAAACATCGGTGCAGGTAGGAGAGTCAGCAAGTTGGAAGATAGGTTGACTGAATTTTCCAGCTGGAGGAACAGAAAGAAAACAGAATGAAGGAAAATGAATAGAGTTTCCAAGATTTTAGGACACTAACATGGGGACCAACATATGCATAATGGGGGTCTCTCAGGAGAGGAGAAAAAAGGAACAGAAGATATATCCCAAACTTGACGAGAGACATTAGTCTACTGTGATAATATGAAGTATATATTTGGTCTTCCTTCTCAATTACAGCTCCTCAAACCCTTGGAACCTCCAGAATGATATGAGTGCCTTTTGAATGTTGGTAAGATGACTGGTGGATGAAGGCCTCTAGATAGCTTCAAGGTTGGAGCTAGCTTCAGAAAGAACAAGGCATGACTGGAGGGTTGGTACTTTCAGCCCCATTCCCTTCTGCAACCTACAGGGAAAGAAAAGGGGCTGAAGATTGAGATGATAACCAATAGCCAAAGATGTAGTTCAGTCATTCCTATGTAATGACACATCCATAAAAACTCAAATGGTTAGGTTTAGAGGGCTACCAGATAGCTGAACTCATAGGGGTTCCTGGAGGTGGTGCACCTGAAAATGGCAGAGATGTTCCAAGTCCCTTCCCATACACTTTTCCCTGTGCATCTCTTCCACCTGGCTGTTCATCTATGTCTTTTGTAATATCCTTTATAAAGAATGGATCACAAAGTAAATTGTTTGCCTGAGTTTTGTGTGCCACTCTAGGAAATTGATCAAAACTAAGCAGAGGGTCATGGGAACTCCAATTTAGAGTCAGCTGAAGTTGGGGCAGTCTTGTGGGAATGTGCCTTCAACCTCTGGGATCTGACACTGTCTCTAGGTATATAGTATCTGAATTGAATTAACCTAGAGGATATTACAGCTGGTGCCCACTGCAGAACTGCTTGGTGTGTGGGGAAAATTCTCCACACATCTGGTCACAGAAGTGTTCTGTGTTGTCCTAAAGATCTATACATCCAAGAAGCTCAATTCCAAATGGGATAAATCAAAGAGATCCATACTGATATATAACTAGACTGTCAAAAGACAAAGAGAAAATTTTGAAAGCAGCAGTAGAGAAGCAACCCATTACATTAAATAGATCCTCAATGAGATTAACAGCTGATTTTCCATCTAAAACCATGGTTGCCAGAAGATAATGGATGACATATTCAAAGTGCTGGAAGGGAAAAAACCTGCCAACCAAGAATTCTATACTCAGCAAAACAATTTTTCAAAAATGAAGGAGAAATAAAGACATCTTCAGATAAATTATAAAAAGAGTTTGTCACTTACAGACTTGCCCTACAATAAGTATGAAAGTGACTTATTTAGGCTGAAATAAAAACATACTAGGCAGTAACTCAAATCCACATGAGAAATAAAAACTCCACAAAAGGTAAGTACAGAGATAAATATAAAAGACAGTATAAATTAACTCCTTTCCTAGCATATATAAAAGATAACTATAAAACAATAGTTATAAAAATAGGTTGACAGGCACACCATATATTACACATCAGTTGTCATCTGTGATAACAACATGAAGTTGGGAGAAACAGAGCTATACAGAAGCAAAGTTTTATTTACTTTTATCAAGTATATTAAATAGTAAATTGGTATTAATCTGAAACAG